AACAGACAGTTAGTCTTTTTTGTGTTTAATTTAAAAAATTTGTTAAATTTAATTTAAGTTCATATGTATAATTTTTTTTTCAAATCGAAGTGTTTTCAAACAATACCGTATTATTGTTAGTAACTACGATAATGAAAACCGTATTATTGTTAGTAACTACGATAATGAAAAAGTAATGGAAATTACGTTAGCAAATTGTATTCAACAGAACGTGTCAATTTATTTTCACTTCTAAAGGAAACGTTCCTTCTTTACCGATTGTAACATGATTTTAGAAATACAGTATAGATTTGTTTAATGCAGACCCCTTTATTGCATCTTTGGAACGCCCCTCGCTCACATGTATTTCTCACACACGTGTACGCACTTCACTCTGTCTCCCAGCAAGAAAGAAATCTAATATACATATACCGTGTCGCCATTGGCGTAACTAGGATTCTTGTCTGGGGGGGGGGGGGCAGGTTGCCTCATTTCCCATCAGGCACCTGTACGTATTTTATACCATGTACGTAGGTTGCTGAAAATAAAGTTACATATGTTACAATAATTATTGACATATTTATTTAACAGCAAAACTAAGAATAGAAAAATATAAACGTAATTCTTAAAAAGCAAAAAAGTTTGAGATCGATTAAACGCAAGAGTATATAGTGTACAGATACCCATAGTTAAAATCTATCATACATAAACTTCAATTTGCTGGTTTTTTCTGTAAAAATATTTTCGCATTCTCGTCTAGTCCCCTTATTGCATCGGGTTCCTCAATTGATGTTACAGGGTTATTAGTTACAGTAGAATATTAAAATTAAAGAGCTTAATTCGAATACAATTTTATTTAATACTTTCACGTAATGAGAATAATATTGAATTTCTTGTATTTAGTTGCGTTGCGTATTGCATTTCGGCCCAAGTAGTTATTTTTTATAACAGAAGATTTTGGTAACTGACGAATGTTTTTTTACATATTTGAATAATTTCTTGACGAAGGCGCCAGGCCCACCTTGGCCCCTACCTAGTTACACCAATGGGTGTCTGCTTTGCACAGTATTTTTTGTTTTGTTTATTAACTAGTTCTAACCTATTCAAATCAGTATAATGCTTTGCACAGTATTTTTTGTTTTGTTTATTAACTAGCTCTAACCTACTCAAATCAGTAATACTGCATTGTGTCTGTCGACATATTCGCGACAAACTGAAAAAACAACAAAAATACTGTCTATCATTTTCTCTACTTTCTATGACCTTTAATGACCTTATGTAATAGGTCGTTGAATTCGTTCTAAGCTCCTCTATCATTCTACGAAAACAAAAACATACCGATCTATTTAAAAAAGTGGAGGTGACCTTGAAATATCCAAAGTGCCTCCACCTGTAAAAAAAAACTATTAGCGTCATCGGATTGCTCCCTTTGTACTATGCAATTTTGGTGAAACATATATTTCAATGAACCTTAAAGTTTCGAAGATATCTGAGGTGGTTATAGTTATTGCCCCACCCCGTATTGTAACGCTGGAATTTGTTTTGCAAAACGACGTTGTCTTTGTTTTGTACCAAAACCATTATATCGAATATATTAATATTGCGTACTATTTCATTTTCGTCCCCTATATTTATGAATTTTGTATCAATACGAAATAGTGATGAAGTAATTTAAGAAAAAAGTTCTACTAAATCGCTGCCTATAGTGCTTTTTGGCTGCAAAACGTTTATTTTCTAGTGTTTCATATATGTAGATAAAATATTGTAGTTTGCTTTTCGATCTACGAAGTGTTTTCGTTTAATTTTATGTTACATAAAATGAGTATCATTGATTACGTCAATATGCTTGAAAGGAATTTTTTACCATTTTGAAATGACATTGATAAGGAGGATTTTGTATTTATGGAAGATAATTTATCGGCATACGTCAGTGCTCAAAACTGATGCTGGTTGACAAAGCACATAATATATTTCTTTCAGATTATCCAGCGTCATTCTCAAATCTGGATCCTACTGAAAATTTATGAATCATCTCAGTGTTATGTATTTGTTCTAATAATTACCATGGATCAGCTGAAAACAAGGATCATGAAAACGTAGGACAATGTCGACAAAAACATCATAAACAACCTCATTATGAGTATGAAGAACAGAGTTACCTAAATCGTACGAAGTAGCAGCAGTGTTATAAAGTACCAAATACAGGTTAACAAATGGATTGATCGAAATAAAATGAATTTGACTTGGTTTTCTTTTATTTATGAAGCATTGTCTATTTTCACAGTGAAATTTATTGTGAGCGATGAATTATCATAATAGTGCACTGAAATTAGCCTTCCTAACGTTAAGTTCCTTTGCAAAATTAAGCAGCATTAACTTTCAAAATTTACTGTCATCTTCACGGGTGACTGACACTTGGTACTATCTGCTGAGAAGATAATCTGTTTCTACATTTGAATTCTCGTTTCGTTTGGATTAGTTCTAAAGGAAAAGAAAAAAGTATACATTCTATTTCCTCCTTTCTCGTATCAAAATATTACGCAAGCAAGTCCGCATAATAAAACACAAAAACTTTTGTGTATATTTTTTGTTTCTCTACTTACTCAATGTTTTAGTGACACGTGTATATCAAATTATCGGCACAAATCTATGTATACGAAATTTTATATAATTTTTCAATTTTTAATTTTCAATCTACAGGGTGTCCCACGGAAGTGGACAAGCTATATTATTAAACGGTAGGAGATCGAAGAAAATTTCATTAAGAAACTTGAAATGATTTCATTTAATGTAGCAATTTTAAAAAATACTTACAACTTTATTACATCAGTTAATGTGTTCTTTTATTTTTTATAAAAAAGTACTCGGATACTTATGTCGAAATACGATTAATTTGAATGATATTTTAAAGTTATCATCAGTGTTCGTACGTGGCTTACCTCAGTAAGGCAAGCAAAAATGAAATTTAATAATAGTGAAAAATTGGATATGCTTTTGGTTTATGGTAAGTGTCATAAAAATGCAACAAAAGCTATAGTCATGTATGCCGAAATTTATCCTGAACGATATCAACTTGATATTACGTACAGTACATTGTCAAGAAAGGAAGCGAAATTTCTCGTTAATTATTAGGTTTACAGCTAATAAAGGTAAATACGTTTTTACTCAAAATTTAACACTCTTCGATATTTTGGCATAAAAAATATAACATTCCATTTAAAATAACGAAGCTGACCTGAAATCTCCGAAACGCCTCCACCTACAAAAAATATTATATGCACTAGATCATGTATTCCTCCAAATCATGCAACTTTTGTAGAAAAAATTTTGTCATACAATGCATACTTTAGAAATTATTCAGGGTCAACGAGTTGCGTGGACCACCCTGTATAGTACACTATACGGATGTTTACTTTGTAATCGTAGTTTCATTACATGCTTTCGTGTCTAAGAAATGTTCAGGTAATGCCCCGTCAATAATTACAACGTGATCTGTAGTTTTGCATTTATTCCAGTGTAATTAAAGTTACTTTCATAATCATATTATCTTTATTACCATTTCGAGATTTATCGTCAAATTTTCAATAGTGAAATTTTCAATTAGAGCAATTGTGAGAATTTTGAAGCTGTCATAATTGCATGCTTTACATACGTGTTTTCGCAATTATTTCTGAAGAAGCACTATCGTTGATCCGTTTAAACAATTACTTTCTCAACAATGTACAATCTTATTAATGAGCCTTAAGGGAGATACATATTTTTTAATGATAAACAGAAACAAAGATAACAGGGAAACTGAATGACCTGGAGCGTCATAAAACTTATCGGGTGTTATGCATGCAACGTATGTGTAGTTTGCTCTTGTCTGACACACTTGACTCAATTTACATCCACATTTATCAATTTTCCAAATAAAAAATATTTCACTATGTTACTTTCACACATAGCTTAATGATTCATACATATTACTGATATGCCTGAATAAGACATCCTAAACATATTCAAGTATACATACATATGTGGTAATTTCCGTTTAGTAAGTTCAGTTTGGGAAGCATTTTTTTTATCAAGCACGTGTCAAGACTAATTGCTCCAGATAATTGAATGACATATCTGTTACAGATTTACTGACCCAATTTTAAGTGCAGAAAATAGTGTAATTATAGACCACTATTAACTCATTACTTAACCGGGTCTTCATATTTAACACATGAAGGAAGATTAATTCTGTGAAGCTATCATTACTACAATGTACACAAAAAAGTTTGGATACGATGAATGACAAATAGGTTTTAATATCACTGTAGAATAAAATATCCATAGAAACTTTCCACACTAGAACTATCTATTTACCAAAGCAGAATATTCTTATTTATGCCATTAGTATTAAATATACAATGGAGAGTTTATGAACTAATATTTTGTTAAGCTGCCTTTGCATTTAATGATACATTTTTGACGATCTGGCATACTGCCTACATTAACTTTGTTGTATATTCTACGTCTATACTGTTCAAAATATCTAAACGTTTATGGTCTGACATTTCTTTATTTGTTATTAGATAGTTTCTTCAACTTCTGTTCAATTAATTCGAGCGTGCACACTTTTGCCAATATCATCCGCTCGAGTTAATTCGAGTATGCGCGTTAAGGGGTTAATTCTACGATACTTAGTTTGCTTACATTCCTATTTTCATTGCACTAAATTGTTTTTTTTTTCAATAAAGTTTATATCAACTGAAAGCTTATTTAATACGACATACATTCCCATTAATAAGGATTTTAAAACTTGTATTTGAAACATATATATCAATCGCTTGAAACCGACAATTGAGGAACTGACTCATTGTTTATTGTACAAATTACTTCAATTGATAACAGTGCATTTAATGAGATTTCGAATGGTTCTTAGTGCAATTTGTAAATAGATAAAGGTTGTAGTTTATTAATACATATTTCTCCACAAACCTATTATTCTTACAACCTTGGTAGAAATAGATACAAGTTACCCCTCGGTAATTCTAGTTTTGGACGTCTGAAAAATTCTTCAATAACGACCGGTAATCGTCGCTGCAGCAACAAGTAGCAATTAGTTTGTGTTCCCGGCATGTGTTCGCATGAAGAAATCGACAATCCGCCAATCTGCATTGATAAGGAAGATCATGAATGTAAGGATCTGTGCAACAACATGCATCGTGCAACAATTTCTCTGCGCAGTAAGGATAGACCGAGCTATCGCACGCAGGACACCGCCTGAAAATGAAGTAAATAGTATTTTATATTAGGCAATATAAATGTAATAGAAAATTCTTCTGGTTTTATACAAGTAAAGCAATGTATTAAGGGGTCTCCCTACTGTGACGAGTAAAAAATTAGGCGAAATTAAGGAATTTTTTTAGAAAAGATATGAGGTATATCGATGTTAAACTTTTTCTTGAATTCATATACACTAATAGGATAAGCTTAATTTTGTTCATTTGAAAATGTGATACAGATTAACAGTTATTGTAATTTTCCGGGACTGCCTAAAAAATGGTGTCTCTATGGCTGCCATTATATCAGCTGTTTACGTTATCTCAAATAAAAAATTGAGAAAAATCCTTAATCTGTATGAACGTAGCTATTGCTCATACTAGAATGAAAAAAAAAATTTGAAAAATAACAAAATGGTTGAGTGTTGCAAGTGCCGATTTTCGCGAAAAATGTCGCTTGTTTTTCAAGTTGCAAAATTCGAATTTTGCAAATATCAATTTCATTGTAGTACGGGAGAGAACTATGCACCCACCGAAGATGCCTACATAGTTTCAAATCGCTCCGTCAAATAGTTTCTGAGATATCGTTGCACTCATTTACAAAAATGTCGTTTTGAGAAAAACGCGTTTAAAGTTTCAATTTGAACCTGCGTCTCGCGGCGCGCAACTTCGGTTAAAAGCTAATAACGTCCTTATTATTTCGAATCGACCGAAATCCTTTTGAGATTATGGTTTTGAAATATTAAGCCTTGAGAAAATGTAAAAAAGAAAAAAGCGTTTTTTTTTACCCGTCACACTAGGGAGACCCATTAATTCCGGTTATAAGAGATCTTGTTAGGTAAACGATATTTTAACCACTTATTATTAATAACAAAGTGGACTGCTTACCTATTTTGTGATGGTCTGTAGGAATTATTGATTGGAAACTTGTACTGCTTAATATTCTGTTGATATGTTCCAGTTTGTGAAGCAAGAGGAAATGGTGCTGCCTGTTTTGCCCCTGCAGCTTGATTATCCGTCTCATCGCCTTGTTTGTCAGGTTCACAGGTATTAGGAGATACGACAAAAAAATACAAAATTTACTGCGTAAGTAAATTTTACACGAGTATTATGTTGAACGTCATTAAATTTATTTATATTCATATTCATCATAGAAAATTTACGCTTATTCCATTAGGTTTACGATATTGTTTACGATATGACAAAGAAGCAGTGTTATAGTTTCTAAATATTAAACGAATTGTAATATATAAATTCAAACGTTCTATTTAATTATAAAATTTGTTAATAAAAAGATCATTTTTCACTTTGAAGTGTTTTTCTCAATGGGACTTCTTGAGTGCTTTCTCAATTTCTATCAAATATTGAGCACAAGTATTATGCACAATATTTTTGTACACTAGAAAATTGCATTAGATACATCCTGGACTATTAATACAGAATGTTTAGTCAATAAAAGTATATAAATCAACTTATTTAGATTAAATAGAGATTTTTTAATTTGCTAATGGGAATAAAATTCGATAATTATCAATTTTATATTTAATGGATATAATAAGAATGAGATTTGTCTTCCATAAAGATTACTGTGTTTCTTTTACAAAAAATTGCGTTTTCATATTCCTATAACTAGCAAATTGAAATTATTACAAAATCGTTTAAAACATGTGTTTAATCAAATATTACAATTACGTTTTTAAGTAAACTTAGTAACGAAACAAACAAACTTAATATTTTTCAATGCGTAATCTGGTATGAATACTACGTCCGTATATAATGTAAAAATCGAGGGTATTGTGCTTAAGAATGAGAACAAAAAATTGAAGGACAAGTAAAGATTTCAGTGAAGAATTCAATAAATAAATTACTTACTTGATTCAGCAATCATGTAGGAATGTAGAATTAAATTAGCGCCGATTATTATTGCAAAAATAGACATTTTAAAAAAAATTGAATTCACAGTGCACTTTTGCCAATGCTGTAAGATACTGACGGTCTTCACGATGAAATAATCTCCTCTAAGTGGGTTTCACTTCGATTTCTTTTCAAATCCCACGCAACTTTTATTTACATACACGTAGCTCGGTTTTCTTAGGGACGAGTGGATCTTAAGTGGTCGACGTACCCGTTACTTGTAACTGGTCCGGATCTTCCTCTCTTCCTACTAAGCGTTGGTGGTTCGAAAAATAATACAAGACAGGTTACTGAGAGTTTTACAACGGGTCTGCTTATTCCATTTTTAATCTTCTTCAGATATGTATTCGTCGCTTTATTAATTATATCAGTATTAATAATACAGAAAATAAGAAATCTATATTATAAATTAAAATTGAGCACATGAAACTACATGTAGACTTGAATATACACAGTACACATAAATATTAATTTATATGCATAAAATGTACCTTCTAAAATTTGTATATTTATGTGTACCTACATTGTGTTGTGCCACGTTAATAATGATCGAAGAAGATTTCGCAATAAACACTTCATAGTTCACAGCAAAGAGATTAATACTAGATAGAAAAATGGTTCGATGTGTGGTAACAAAAGGTAGAAGTAAACTTTAAAATTTATTTTGACTATAAAATGGAAATTACATATTTTTACTCCTTAACCTATAGAATCACTTCATAAAATATTACAAATTTCAGAAGTTTGTTCTTTTAAAAGTTTAAAAAAGAATAAAAATTTGTTCTTAATATTTTTATTAATTTATAAGATTGTAAACAACTTTCAGAGTGTAGCATATACAGGGTGTCCGGTTTATTTGAGAACACTCAAATATCTCGAAAAATATGAATGATACTTAAAATTGTATAATATCGAGGGGAACATACTACACTTTTAACAAGTTCACTTTAAGATGACCTTGAAACGTCCTGTGAAGGTAATATTAATATTTTTACATGGGACCCTACATTTTTGTATACATATTCCTTTAGCCAACATTGAGACGTTTTCAAAACACTACTTGCAAAGGCAGTTTCAAGATATGAAACGACAAAAAATTTAATAAAAGTCATTACACAACTTATTTCAAGATAGATTACAAATAGCAGATCGTATGTTTTGCTGTACTTCGTCTAACATAAAGATATTTTTTTTTACATTAATTCTCTTATAAAACATTCGTTACTCGTTCTGTGTTCTAGTAATCAATATTTCGAATGATTATTGTTTCCGATAATTGACATTCAAACAATTGACGCTCTCCTGTATAACTGACGAAGCTACCAGATAACCATTTGCGTGCAGATTGGCAGCAGATTGGCAGTAAATAATGACGAAATCAGTCTACAAGTCCATAGCTACCTGTTTCCGCATTTGGCATGGATTTTGCAGGCAGAACGTGCTGATAGAACCGTGAACCAGCTTGGCGACAGATTGGCGGCAGTTCCTGCAATATAACCTGGGTTAACTAACCTATGGTCTGTTTATCGAAAGAAGATGCCTGGGAGGTAGGCCTGCCTCGGCGCGTGGCCTGGTGGGGATCCAACGCGAGTTGCGTATTTCGTGCGACGTGTCACAGCTCAATGCCACTGTGTGTCTCTTTCCATCCTCCAGCATTTCAGCACGAGAGCCTCTCGCTCAGACGAACAGTAAACCAACTTCCTTCTTCACCCTGCGATTTCCACGTGTAGCGTTTAATAACCTACGTACAATTAATTTAATCCCCTTTTAATATGTTGCTCAATATTTGGGTACAATACATTCTTTCAAATGAAATAAACTTTTTCTTATTCATGTATTTTAACTCTTGACGTGTGAAAACGTTCAGCGTCTCGTCAACATTCTCCGTCATTTACAGACAATGGATGATTGACGGGCGCGTGCCGAACGCAGTCTCCACTACTTGAGATTGTAGGTAGGTCCTTTACGAGAGGTTTGTAATACGTGCGATGGAGACAGACGACCGTAGACGAGGACGCACGTCGACGGTCGTACGTCATTGGCCAAGACGCGAAGAGTGAGAGAGACCCAAGTGCTGTAGATGTCTCGCGGTCGCGACAACACCGCGAAAAGTCGGGCCTACTTCCCAGGCATCTTCTTTCGATAAACAGACCATAGTTAACCTACGTTAAGTTATAACTTATGTTATGCTGTGGGATCTGCTGCCAATCTGCCGCCAGTCTGCGTGCAAATTGTTTATAGTATATCCTGAATCAAATCTGCAGCCATTCTGATTACAGAAGCTTATAACAGGCATTGGACAAAGTCTCGCTGTGCAGGTTTGGCTGACTGGATACTAAAATGTACTTACTTAAATATTGTACTTTTCCGAGGTACGTCCATTTTTCTACAATTGTAAATTGTATAGGTTTTTCTCATCGAAACAGGTAAGCATTATGTTAGCCATTTTATTATTGTTGTACCAATTTCGAAGTGGAAGATAAGTCGACTCATATCTACTACAGGTACATAGATGAGTCAGACGAAAAGGTGGATGTAGTGGATAGTTAAGTTACTCGAACCGCATACAATTTCAAAGCCGTAAATTAATAACAAAGACATATTTTTCTAACGTTTGTATTCTCCTCTTACGCTACACATCACAGAAAATATTATTTAAAATATTATCTGCGTACATATTTAGTGAACTTGCACGACTCGTAGTGTTTCTGTAGACACCATAAACTTTTTTCTTTTCCATTCGTTGTAGGTGAACAAAGAACCACAATCAATAGTGTCATCGCACATTCACATAATCATGTTATCCTACTATTCTTATGTATATACAACAGTCACTTTACAAGTAAATGTTATTCGAGTAATATAATAATACGATGCAATCACACTTATATGTAACTATTTCCGTCCAAAAATTTGAGGTTAACTGTACTAACGTTCTGTTATAGAACGAATATTATATAATGTTCCTCTTAAGAAATTACGAATTGTGAACAAGAGTACAATTAAATATAAGAAACTGTACATTGAATTAGCATGCAAAACTTTAATTACAAATACGTAATAACATGCGACTTCAAATATTTGGACGGTACCATACAGAAGATGACGGAAATATATACAGGGTGAGGTACCTAACGTTTACACCCCAAGTATCTGTATTGTTTTTAAAAATACATAAAATGTCTTAAGGACAAAGTTGAATGGTACAATGAGGTTCACACGATACCAAAAATTTTTGTTTTTGTCATTTTTTTTTTAGAGATTTCAAGGTCATCTTCGTTTTTTAAAATGGAACCACCCTTATTTTCTGTGACCTTGAATGACCTTGAATAATTATAATCACTGAATTCCTAATGAAAGGGACCGTTATTGTAGGTGTATAAAAAGGGGTGATTCAAAATGAAAAAAATGAAGGTGACCTTGATATCTATAAAAAATGACATAAAAACAAAAATTTGTTTGGTATCGTGTGAGCCCCACTGAACCATTCAACTTTGTCCTTAAGACATTTTACGTAATTTTAAAAACAACAAAGATATTTGAGGTGCAAACATTAGGTGACTCACCCTGTATAAGGGGACGGCATGAAGAAAGGTATGTATGTATAAACATGTGTTCAGAAATTTTTCTTTTCTGACGATTTGTTATGAGGACATCTTAAGAGGTTCCTTTACAATTCACTTATGCCTGCGTGACAGAATTTAGAACACTCTGATTCAAATTTTGAACATGTTTTGGCAACTTTTTTAACGAAGTAAGTAAACAAAAACTGTTTGTATCTTGGGCAACAAGAATTTCTAAATTCAAATCTTCACGACCTCCTTTTATCGTTAAAATGGAAAAAATTCGATCCTCGATTTCGTTCATTTATTTCCGTTACACCCTGTATATTAATCTGAGGAAGTATACAATATTATTATAGAGTGAAAGGAGGTTTTTAAATAAATTGCTTCTTCCACCTTGTCAATTCAAATATGTTTCGTTGCTGCATCTTTGTCTGTAGAAAAGTAGAAATTATGTGGCTCAATTCATTACTCGTCGTATACGGTTTATCAAATCTATCTGAACTCGTTTTCGTTGTATTCTTATTATTAACATGGAAAAATAATTTATTATAATAATTCGTATTATACAAAATATTTGGCATTACGTTGATTATACAAGGAACCTGAGCACCACTAGTATCGTCATGAACTTTGCAAGACATGTGTCGACATTCGACTGTGCTCCATTCGCCCGATATTTCCCTGAAACACAAAAATATGATTAACAACAGATTAAATATATAATTGTATTACGTCCTCTCAATAGCCCACGGATTTTATTGTGTGAACATTCAACACATTTTATAAATTTATTAAGGAGAACAAATATTTGCGTAGTAAAAATGTTTAAATAGAAAATGCTATATTTCTTCTATTGTTAATTATATTATTCTATTATTTAATATAACCCAAATATAATCTCTACCTCCGACAAACTTAATACGTACATACATGCATTTTACTAAACCGTATAAATTAGAGATTAGAAGTATTAAATATATTAACGTTCACTACATTTGTATGGGATAAAAGAAATTAAAGCTTAAATTACTTACGAAAAAGCTTAATCGTAATTTATCGATATTTTTTAAAATATATGTGATGGAATTAAGGAAACAACCCGGACTACCATTTGGTTGCAGATTGATAGCAAATAGTGACGAAATCTGTCTACAACTCCATGGCCATCTGATTCCGAATTTGGCTTGGGATTTGCAGACAGAGCCTGCCTGACAGAATCGTGAAGCAGATTGGCAGTAGATTGTTTATAGCAGATCCTGTATCAAATCTGTACCTATTCTGGTTACAAAAGGTTATAACAGGCATTGGACAAAATCTGGCTGTACAGGTGTGGCTGACTGTGAATAATTGTTTATACGAAATGTTATAAACAGTTATAAAAAAAAGAAATTCAAGTACGAAAATGAAACAATAATTAAATTCATGCGAACGTTTGTTAGGAACTCTATTGTGATACGGTGCTAGGCGTACAGTCGAGCCTACTTTGCGAAATCTGTGCTAACCTCGAATTGAAATTAGGTAATGCATATGAGTTATTGATCAAGTAATCCCTATTTATTTAACGAATATTTACAACATAGAAACTGCCACCTAAATCACTAAACTTTTGCGGCTATAGTTAGCTATCCTAATAAGTCAAAGATCTGTACTGTTTAATTTATATCTACAGGGTGCCCCAGTAAATGCAGCCACAAAATTTCAGGACTTTCTTTGAACTTTGCAAAAAATTGTGTTAAAAAAGAGTTGAACTATATTTAAGTGTGCATAACTTTCGTAAATCAGAGTTTCTTTATTTAACATTTTTTCTATACAAAACCAACGACTATAAATATGTTATAAAAAAAATCACAAATAATTTAATAAAGGTCAACAGAAATTATGCAACTTCTAATGTTGTTGACTTTTTATATGGTATTTGTGTAAAAAATATGTAAAAAATGCTGGTGTTTTATTTAAAAACAGGTAACTTCTATATCCACGAAAAAAATGTAAATAAAGGAACTTTTTACAAAGGTTGTGCACACTTAAATGTAATTCAACTTTCGTGTAACTGTAACATAATTTTTTTTAAAGCTCAAGAAATATCCTGAAATTTCGTGGCAACAGTTACGTGGGACATCTTGTATAGTACAATACTTTGCCATTTTCCTTCAGTAAAAAATCAAGAAGACATTTGTAATTTAAAATACATCTGTACATAAGTAGAAAAAATTGCAAATTGCATGTTGGGACACCTAGTATGTCATGAATTGATTGCAAAGAAAATTAATGTAAATATTAGTAAACATTGGGAGTCTATGGAACAAAATACAACAAATACAAGTGTAATGGCAACACAAGCACGCATCGTTGCCTGGATGCATACTTTAGTTTATTGTTATGTACGACTTAGAAATTGTCATTGTACAAGTAATACTTACACACAGAAGCTAAATAGGAATGACAACAACATTCCCGTAACCTCGCGTATTCAGCACAATCCCCTGCCTGCACTTTACATTCTTCTGGTCCCTCGCGACAAGTGTGCTTGATGAAGGGGAACACCTCTAAAACAATAGACTAATAAATATACGAAACACGATTTCAATGACTTTGCATGAGAAAAAGTTGAAATCAATGAAACTGAAAGGTATAGTGTAGAGGCGTACAGAGTGTTCAAAAAGTTTCTCATATACACATCTACGTATCAACGTTCGAATTGTAATTGTAATTGTAATTGATTAATTGTTAAAATAATATAATTACGATTAAGGTATAAGTAAATATAGCGGAAAAGTAATGTCGATAGAATATGAAAAGAATTAAAAAGTAATTACTAATCTGATATTTTCTAACTATTCGATAATTGTAAGAATAATTATATTGTTTACTATATTAACAATCATAATTGCAATTGCATATTTTGTTCTTGTTTAACATATTGAGCACACATACACTACCCAGATAGTACCTGACGCCTTGAAGATGCCCATTTTACGGCTATTTTAGGTCTACAGCGCCTTGAAGCCGTCTTCAAGGCTTCATGTGCTATCTGAATAATGTAAGTGCCTACGTATAACTTGGACTTATGATATATCATTTGATAGCATACCAAAAAAAAACATCGTATTCCAATTTTTTACCCTCTACCTCTATCAGAAGGGTGGTAATAAGGAAAATTCGGATTATGTGGTTTTCCCTCTACTCCTCCAATTTTCGCACATGCTAAAATTCTGTTAAAGTTCTAATATGTGGGGTGTTCCAAAATATAATAAGTGTAAGTACTTGAAAGGGCTAATTCCTGGGATGATTTAGAATAACTTTTCCCTTAACAAAAATGTTATCTGAGGCTTTATTAACGAGATATTAACAAAAAACCCCGACCAATCAGAGCGCGAGTCTGCCGGTCGAGTTCCCGCGGTAGCGTTGGCTACCAATCGCAGCGCGTAGCCAACGTTACCGCGGGAACTCCGCCGGCAGACTCGCGCTCTGATTGGTCGGGGTTTTTCGTTAATATCTCGTTAACGAAGCATCGGAGAACTTTTTTGCTACGGAAAAAGTTATTTCAAATGACCTTACGAGTCTCCCATTTCCGCGTCCTCCAACATTTTTGTTATACTTTGTATGTATAGCTACTGTACTGTACACAATATTTCTCTGAGGAGGAATTGGTACATTCTTAAGCTAGCCTTCGATTTTCGGTGTGTTGTGAGATCAGTATTGATTTTTGTTAAAACTAGTATCCAAAACGGGATTTTTAAAATTATATTTTGGCTTGTGTTCAATAATTTCTTGTTTAGTTCTAATAAAATAATATTTACTTTTTGACTAACTTTGAAACATGTATCCGAACGAAATATGAATGGTAAATTCCAGTTTTATATTAGACGTGTTCTTATATCCGATGATACTATCGAATACGAAACGCAGTATCGTGATAACTGGCAGTTTTGCACTTGGGTCGGTTGACAAGCGGTGCACGTAACCAGTTGAAGGTTTCCGGTTCCGTCTGAATTCCGGACAGCATAACCTCTTGGCAACAGTAAATTCGATTTGCTTACAGAACGCCTCGTCTACAGATGATAATCTTACTTTCCAATTTAACAATAAATATAATTTGTGGACATCTATTATATTTACATATGTAACTAATAGACGATTGTCAAAGAAAAATGGTAAAAAGTGGCTAAGTTTCTGGTTCTTTCGGCATCTAAGCTATTAATAAGACATTATTCTATTTGCTCCAAGAAATTAAGAGTGCATAATTATTTAACGCCCATGTGATGAGAAAATTGTGAAAGAAGCAGGTGAAGAGAACGGTGTATGGAGCGAAAAATTTGGAGTTGCTGATTTTAAATCATCATAACTTCTAAACGAATGCATGAAATATAATGATTTAATTGCTATTTTGTAGATAAAAGTTTATATTTTAATTGTATGTAAAATAGCAATGTAGAGTGTATTGATTAACAACCTTAGAAAAATTCAGATAATTAATGACGACGCAAATATTCGGGGAAATGTGTTTGTAATTATACTATAATTTACTTATAATTTGTAAGTAATATATTATTATACTCCTAATTTGTCGTTCCATGAACCGTTCTCTTCATCTAATTTTTGGACAACTCTCCCATTACATTGTCGATAAATAATTATGCATTCCTAATATCTTTGATACTTCTAGAATATGTCTTATTAATATTGTAGCTTACGTGTCGAAGAACCATTTTCGCCACTCTTTTATCATCCTCCTTTATTTCAAGACATGCAGAATAATTTATACAACTAGGACAAGTGATATCTCTTTGTTTCATGTACTGATAAAAATAATAGTTGAAATGTAGAATGTAAGAGGTTAGTTACGCTTCTGATAATGAGGTTCAATTTTCAGCGACGTATTTTATCACTAAAAGGAAGACGAAACTGCGTCAAAAAAAACAAATGAAAATTGTTTCATAAGATATTTCGTTTACGAAAATGTAGTACTAACAGCTGTATAAACAGCAATTCAAAAACTTTTGAAAAATCTTTCCAGATACGTTTATATGCCATGAGAAACTACAATATATTCAAGTTTGAACAAAATCCGAAATGTTACTCCAAAGAATGTCCGACTTCGCGTGGAATGACCCATAAATTATGTATTTCCACCTGAGTTCTGAATTTTGAAATGCTTTTTTATTGTAAATGAATAAATACAACATTATTTGATGTCGTTGTGTAAATGAAATAAATACTGCGATTCCATGTAAGGAAATGGCGGTGTTCTTGTTTCTTAACGACGAAAAATATTTTGCAAACGTTAATTACACTGGTCAACAAAATTTAACTTTTTGTTTCTCTTCGAACATCCAGTTGCTGATTCTTATAGATTCTTCTGTACTAAATACGAATCCGTAAACAGTTTTTTGCCATCACGCTCAGTTTCCGAGAAATTTGATTTTTTAGAAAAATGCAAATTTTCAACTTTGAACATTTCCTGTGTTCAAACATTAATAGTTATTAACAGAAATGGTAAGACACTTTTGTGTTCAATACAGGAGCGAAATAGTAGAGTAAAACCTGCGACGCTGGCAGTGGTACTCAAAGACAGCAAGCGCAGGCATTCGACTGTCGCTCGACTGTCGCCTTTGAGTACGTCCCTGTAAAATTATACATACATGCTTATCTTTGTTAGTTTGTTCATCTTTTATACTTTCTTATAGCCACCACTGTAAATTCTCGTGCGAATATGAGTGCAGGCCCGAATTAAGATTTTTTGTGGCCCAGGGCTATCACATTTTCGGGGCCCCTTGGTTGAAAAGCGGTGTGGGATTTTTTGTAAAAAAGCACGACGAAATACATAAATTTTCAAAAATTGAAATTTATTTTAAATAAAATTGAATAACATTTAATCATAAAGAAATAGAACGTTCCGGGGCTACTGCCCCCCCCTAGATCTCTCTCCCCTTCATCCGGCGCTGTATGTGTACTTTTATCATATAGTCTGCACATTTTATTTAAAAGTTGAAGTAACTAGAAAATGCAACGATAAACTGTAATCATGGAATGCGAATACCATGGAACTTTTGTTACTCGCATTGCCCCAACATCGATTTCAATCGTGCCGCAGCCCCGTTTAATCGATTCCGTCGATTAGAAAAGAGCAAGGAAGAACGTGCGATTCGTATGACTGATTGAAATGGACTCACGTATTCGATACGTGTTGTGTAGTGCGTGCAGCAACGCAATTTTATTGCAACCGCCATTGCTATTGCCATTCGCATATCCACTCAAGATGCATTAACGGTGAATATTGTGTTAAGAATAACGAATTGAAAAGTGCTGGAATCGAAAACATATCATCTGGAAATGGTTAAAATCGCTATAGCTGTTTTTCCAGTCATTTACGATTAAATGTTGTACATGCTACGATTTATATTATAAAAATCAATAATGCACAAAAATGTGCAAATTCTGAAAACACAAACTCCAAAATCATTTTAACCAATGTTATTAATTTATCACATACAATGCCTTTTTCGGATTTCTTCGCGGCAAAAAGTTTGTATAAGTTTCATTTTTTAATGTTTTCTTCAAGGTCACAAGGCCCTGTTTTTTGTACGTACACGCACATAATTTTTCCTGTTGTATGTTATAGCCAACATTATTATGCATGTGTCCATGAACAATAGTATGACCTTGAAATGACCTGGAACTCTAAAAATTTTAAATTCACCTGCATACTCTTTTTGCATCATCTGATTTGTTTCTTGAAACCATTTAAATTACGTACAAAATAATATAGAAGATATTTACATGGTCTGTTTTAAGCGGAAGATCCTGTATATTTTTGAGTGTGCCTACTTTAATGTCAGCTGTAAGAAGCAAGAGAAAAGAATACGCATTTAGAAAGAGAGTATCGGTGACCTTGAAAACTCCGAAAAAATGACCTTGAACCAAAAATATTCCCTGCAGCATGTTTGAAGAAAAAAAGAAAATATTCTTTAACCATTTATTTTGCAATTGTTTCAAAGAAATGCAATTGTATAATAGCGAGGCACTATTGGAATATTAAATATAAATTACAAATTTAAAAATTATTAAATGTTTATAAACAGAGCGTTGTTGCACTTTTAATATCCCATATTTTTAGTTTAACATATTAAGCAAACATTAGTAAGTACAATTCTTATTAAAAATATTTCAGAAATGTAGCAGTCATTTACTGGGCTTTTAAATATTTCGTACTTTACAAATAATTTTTAAAAAATTACAATAAGATTAAGTAATTATTTTTATAAAAATTTCAAGAAAAATAAATGTAATTGCAATTTCAACATTTTGTTGTTATAAACAAATACATTCAAGTATTAATCCTTTGCATTCGAAATTTTTAATTTTTCATACATTTTGACGCTTCAGAGGCGACAGTCGAGTGCAAAGGGTTAATCTTAAACATCAAGAAATTCAACAATTCTGTCATTCACTGGTTGGTTTACCCTATCCAAATTGTTAACGATATTAACTTAATGTACGACAGTGAACAGATTTTGAACAATTGCATGCGATAGGTGCGTGTGAAGCAAATTCACTACAGCTTGAAACAAAATAATAAAATACATAATATACTTATTCTGCTTGTTTATAGGACGAGGTCACGTGAGAAGATGGCCGTAGTTAGAGGTTCCGTCCCCCCTGGACGGAAAACAGTGGGTTTTGCACTACTTTAGAAGAAAAAATTGGACTTTGCCCCCCCCCCCTTCCCGGAGGAAACAAATTACATTGCCTCCCCCGTCTGATAATCTGGCTACGCCCATGAGGATATGGTAATTAGGAATTTTAGCAAATGGATTATACATAGAGGTCGATGACCGATAGTAGCGTGAAGAGTACGGACGAAGAACGCATGAGATAACAAGTGTCCCTGTTCACAGATATGGGATCGTTTCGTGTGAGTCACCCGATATATCCATCCTATGTTTTTCGACATCAACACGCGTGTGAAAAAGAAGGATGGATCGTTACAGTGAACGATAATTTCCTGAACAGGTGATTGTCCTTCCGTCCAGCTGTATTTAAAGGCGTCGACGAGTTTACACATTCTTCATTGAGCACAATGAAAATTCTTCTTTATCCTAAAATAACACTTTTCTCTTATTTTGCAAGAAATGTTTCCACTCCGATCGAAACAACACACAATCTATTCGATTAATCATTTTTACAATAAACATTAAAAAGTTCATAAATAATAATTAAATGTCGATGATAATGCAAATATTTCGATTGCAGAAAATTTATTAATTGTTAGTTTAATAATACTTGTGACTAGATAATAAATTAACTATGACCATAAATTATTTTCAGCCAGCATTAGTTTAAATAAAGAACGTGGCAATTATTTGTAACTCTACCCAGTATTATCCGAATTAGTGAGGAGACATAACCGTTTAAATGTTTAGGTAGATATTTCAGCTGGATAAGATATTTAACTCATTACACGTTAACTCGTTTTCTTCATTAAACTTCTTATTAATTACAAACGATTCCAAATTTCATACGTATATTGTGTATTCTATCATTTTAATCAGAATCATCTCATCAAGGTGTTGATGAAATTTTCATTAACAAAGAACCAAAAATAAAAAAATGTCATCGTCACATTACTGTGAATCTATTCATACGCAGGCTTTTAATCGTTGCCAGCAAAATAGAAAAGCGAGCTGCCGAAACTCGGCCCGGGAATCGTGTCTTTCTACGATAACAACTTCAAACCTGTCCACAGTTTTGAGCATTAATTAAAGATTTACTGTATCTTTCAAAGACTTTGTATTTCCCGCGCTGACTCTTTTCATAATGAAATATTGCTAATTACCGTATGTCGAAAGTCATGTTCTCACTGTGGGCACTCTTTCTACACAGTTTGGAAATGATATTACGCAATATTCAGTTCCTAAAGCTGCATCTACACTATACATATAACGAAACAGTGTTATACAACAAATTTTTGTATAACCTTGCTATAAAATATACAACATGTTTTTATAACTTGTTACAAGACTATACCTTTCAGACAACTCTGTTATAAGTTTGTATAACATTTCGCGTCGCATTATTAATAATGGCGACACACTAGATGGATGACATATAACTTGCTAACACGAAAAATGTTATGTAACTTTACGTTATATAACATTTTTCTTTCTGTTTTTCTAACAAGTTTTAGAACATTGCTATATAACATGTTATGTTATATAGTGTAGACGCAGCTTGACATCTTCGAATTGCAACTCAGCACTATGATACCAGACTGCGGATTTTTATGAAAAATCAAAGTTTTTACAGTAATTTTTAAAGCCAGGTGCTATTGTAGAAATTTAGTTTCCCTCTTAAGTATCTTATTGGATTCAGAATAAAGTAGAAAACTCGTTGGATCCGATGAAAGTTTTGTTTTTTATTCTATGTCACAGAGCCCTATAGGCTATAAATGCATAAAATTCTCAGTCTAATTATCACAAACACTCTTTTCTGAGTACCTATTCGGAAACTGGGATGGCATCTTATCGATTCGAATTAAATTACACAAAGAAATATACAGTAGAGCCTCCCGTATGCGAACTAATAAGGAGACACAAGTGTTCGGTTAAAAGAATTCTTGGATAATGGAACAATCACTTTTACTCATACTAGACTTCATTTATTTAAACGGATATTAAGGAAATTGAAGGTTCGTTTGAGTATTTATGGATACTATAACTTATTGGCGGGTAAATTACAGGAATTTTTCAATACGAGCGACTGCCTAGAATTCGATCGAACAGAAAAAAGTATATATTGTATGTAAGCGTTACATATTTGTAACAGAGGAAGGCTGGGAGACACTCTGTTCGGATAACAGAATGTTTACATGATAGAACGTTCGAATAATAGGGTATTCGGCTAATGGGTGTTCGGATACGGGAGGTTCTACTGTACTGACAATTATCGTTTGAAAACAGCGAGTACGACCGACAATATACCGAGTCCTCATAAACCGTCATCGACTAGGGGGTCCGCGATTTAGAAGTTCAGAAGCTTAATTTGCGTGTAAAAATGGGAATTTCAAAACCAAACGTCGTAAGCATGTATTTAATGTTCATATTTATTTAGAGAATACAAAATTGTTATATACTTTTTTATAAATAATATTAAAAAATTTGTTTACAGAGTTATCATTGTTAATTACAAGTTCTCTTATATCATTTTCGAAAATTAATGAACTCCTTTCAAAATTTTTCTTCTGGGTAACAAAATTGCAGACATTAAACAATCAGGGAATGCTAGTAATGTATAGAACAAATCAAATAATTTTTTGTGTATGAACATTAGATGCAAACAACCTTTAAAATTCGACTGTGTTTCACCGTGAATTTAGTGGTTTTTTTCTAAAGTAAATTTTAAAGTGACCTATACATTTGTGTTATTCGTTGGAATTCGGAAATTAAGTTGACCGGGCTAATACCTTAGAAAGCAAGTAATAAAATAGATGTGAAATTAATTTTTTTTTATATTGAGGCTGTAGGTAACATCAAAGTAAAATAAACTTTCTGCACGTCTTTAAACTTTTAGTTTACTTGCGACCCCTTCCCAGTGGAAATATTTTCTTTTCATTATATTAACCATGTAGCAGACTTTAAAATGAGAGAAACAAATTTGCCACTTTTGGGCAAATTTTTCCTCCTATTTCAAACCACTGTGCGACGTGCGAATATGCGATTTTGAGCATACATAAGTACGTCCATGGTTTAGATTACGAAAATTACAGGCATTGTGACGATTCCAGGTTTCATTATTGTTGTTCGAAATTTCTGTAGAGTTGCATAATCGAGCCGCGAATGATTCCACGGTCAATTCTCGACGCAGAAATTGCCTACACGCGATTGCCGTTTTTCAGCCGATTTCTATACGCAAATAAACGAAGGACAGTGACAAAACGTGACTGATACGGAATTGGAAAGCCAACACGAATCAAAGAAACCATGTAGTATCAAGGTAATCGTTTCACATTTCAGAATAATTAGTTCAGTGTTTACAAAAAAAGTGTTAGGAAACCGAAGAGTTTCTTTACCAAACAACAGGCTTGAGCAGAAGTTATTTAAAGTATAAAATGAAAGATAATATGTATTTAAAGTGATTTCGTTTCATGAGGGTATCGAATAAATCATTCTAAAGTGAAATTCATTTTAATTAACGGTTTCTAATACTTGTGTACTAACATGTCATTTTTAGTTTTGGACGTTTATACTTTTGTTGGAATAAGAGCAGAGTTATTAAGTGCAATTGCTTTGTAAAGTAACAATGTTTTTTTTTCGTGATTAGGTCGATTTTTATTTTAATTTACAGTGAAGCTGTCACTGCATTATTATTAAAAAAAACTGTTTGTGTTTGGGTACTCATGAAGCATTTCTTATTTTTAGTGGGAAGCGTTAAAGTATATTATAAAGAACTATTTACGTTAGATTAAAATTTTCATACTTACTGTAAATACCAGAAACAATATTGGTAAAATATGTATTTATCGAATTCATTATTTGCTTTTGGCTTAAAATTTGAAACTACATTTTATATCATTTTCCAACAAAATAATTTCGACGAAAAGCATTTGCTCATTCACATAAACAACCACACAAATGTTTCAACATACTTTCGAATCGAACAAGTCAAAATCTTAAGTAAACAATTCGTTTTATAATAGAAAGATGCCTAACTCAGTCATATACCATAGTTTGTGTAAAGGTAAGAGGAGGAATAGTGAAATGATTGTATAATTTTCATTATTTTTTAACGATTTTACTTACCATTGAAACTGCCATCGCAACAGCAATGATCGTTTATAACACTTTCATTTTCACAGTAAGTCATCTCTGCATTTGTACAAGGCTTGCATCCTGGAATGGGACCTGAGAAATGTGTCATAGATATGATATTTTAGTTCGTTAATAAGAAATTTTAACCCCCTGCCATACGATGTCTTTTGCGACTTCACTCTTAAGAATAACTTTATCGTTAATACTTTACTTTTATACAAAAGGAATTCCATTCTTATGACAAGTGTTACATTTATTCTAAAGTTTAAATGTTAATAACAGGGAAACAGTAATTCACGTCGACTCAAAGGAAACAAATAATATACATGTTTACTAAATTCAGTTTGAAATTATTATCACTTGTCTGACTCGATGTTGTAAGGCAAGGGGTTAAATAACAACAAAATGCCAATTTGTTCATTACAGTAAAACGTTGATTACCCGAAACATTCGAAAAACATTTCATTTCTGGTGATCAATCTCTCTGATAGTTGGTTGAATGAAAAACCAGGAAATCAGTGAAAGAAGAATATTTTTAGTTTGTATTGCTTTATCGTTCTCATTTTTTTAAAGTTTATTATTAACCGCTGGAGTAACATGAAATGATGACTCAACTTGGTTAAACAGGTAATCAACGATCTATTGTAGACGTAGGAGCTTAAAATTCTGAGAAGAATATTCGATTAAATGAAGATCACATTGTAAATTAACTAAAAAGCAACTGCTTAAGCTGCGTCTACACTATATACATATATCGCAAAACAGTGTTATACAACAAATTGTTGTTACACATGTTACTATCCAACATGTTTTTATAACTTGTTACAAGACTATATCTTTCAGACAAGTCTGGAACAAGTTTGTATAACATTTCGCGTCTCATTATTAATAATGGCGACACACTAGATGGATAACATATAACTTGTTATATAACATAAAAAATGTTATATAACATTTTTCCCTCTGTTTTTCTAACAAGTTTTATAACATTGCTATACAATATGTTATGTTATATGTACAGTGTAGACATAGCTTTACTCTACTACTAAAGACAGAGCAGTCAGACCGCAGCCAAGCCATACCATACAAAGATGCTACATAGGGTATGTCTGTCAGTTACTGTGCCCATTAAGACGAAGATCAAAGTTTTCGATCAATTAAATAGCTGTTTTTTATATTTTGCTCTTCGACACATTTTTAAATTATATTTTGATGTCTCTTATATAAGTAGGATTTTTTTTTACAATTAAGTACTATAATTAATGTACGATAGTAAAGAAAATATAAAAATAATTTTTTGAGTCAGTTAATGTGCCCTTGTGTATACGAAAATTCAGTTACTGTGTGTCAGTTACTGAATACTTGTATTGATTACTATGTGCCAGTTATATTGTGAAAAATTTCCTTTTCGAACATTTTTGAACAATTTATTACTACATTTCTGAATACTTACAATATTATTGTAGTAAACAAGACAAACTAATGCGTAGGTACATACACGTCTTATTGTTAGTCGTTAGATAGTAGGTATCTATAAAAGTAAGGTTAGGAGTTCAGATTTAGCTTGTTATTAAAGGGCTCAGTAATCGACGCATAACGTGAAAATGGGTCCAGTTACTGCATACAGTAATAGCAACAAACCAAAATTTTGTTTCAGTTACTGGATTATTATAAATTAACAAAATATTTTCATCAAATCGATTGTATTATACATTTTTCCGTTATTTAAACGAATTTTTCGGACCCGCAGTAAATTTTTTTGGTTTTGGGGATTATTATTCTTTTTATTTGGTAGCTCCATTTACTCGGTATCCCTTAAGCTTTTCAATAAAATTTCTGGCGAAATATCACCAAATCGTCACCACATAATTTCAATAATTATTATTACTATAATCTAAGTGTTAATAGTTCACACTTTTACTCCAATTATGCTAATTGTTAATTAAATTTTATTTACAAATTTTAATATATCCATTTGAATGAGTACGTAATTTACTGTACATAAACATAATGTAAGGGCACAGTAACTGACACACTTACCCTACTGCTGAACACCATGTTCCCCGAGCACCGAAATTATAAATGTATGTATAATTTTCATTCGAGAATAAATAATCACGTCTCATTATTCTCGATTTCTGATGCCGTTATGAGACAATCGCATTAAACAGGCGGAATATTAGTATGATTCACGATAATTAGTGTCTCGATGCTTTACGCAATTGTTTTGAAATCGTGTCGTGGCTGCACACGGTGCCGATGGCATTATTCTCGATACTGACTTAAACACAGGTGCATTCACCGGTAATAAGTAAATGCTTCTTTCCACTGCGTTACTCGCAAATTAGCATAATACTTTAAGAGAATAAAATTCAAATTGAAAGCTAATTCCAAAACGGAAGTTAATTTCTGCATCCAAAATGCTAAAAAACAGATCGGAGATGATGGTAAAATTGTATGAATTAATGGAGAAAAAGGCAGAAACGAAGAGTAAAACTGAACGAATTATACAGGGTGTAACAAAAATGTTGGATGACCCGGAAATGAGAGACTCGTGAGGTGATTTGAAGCAAGGTTTTTCTTAGCAAAAATGTTACCCGAGGCTTTGTTAACCAGATATTAACGAAAAACTCCGACCAATCAGAGCACGAGTTGGATACATCAAAATGTGAACATGTTTTTTTAAGCAATTTTTCGAGTAGTAGCTTTTGAAACACGTGCAAATATAAACACATTGTAACAGTAAAATCATTCTAGAAGATAAATGGAACTTTAACATTGTTTTTTAAGAGAACGGTTGACTTAAGATCCTTGGTTCCTTTGAGACTTTTGTTCCTCACGATGAGTACTATACGATGCAATAAAATAAAAAAATTTGACCTTTTGATCTTGATTTTCAAAGTTAAGGTCAATTTTGCGGTTCATTTTTTTAACAGATTTCCACCGATCCAGAGACTTAGAATCCCGCTGTGGTGGTCGTGACATATAATTTTTATACACCCTGTACATTTGTGCTGAGATTCGCTTAGTCAAATTATTATGTACGACCGTAGAAAACGTGGACTAGTTTAAAGTCTCGAATAAAGAAGGCAACCTTGGCTTCTATTTCCTGTCGATAGTAATGCTACGTTAGAAAAATAAACGATCGGTGCTGATGTTCAGCAATGTTCCGGCAACGAGTGTACCAAAAACAAGGTGTCCTCCCGTTTCTAGCATGCACGGAGCCTAAACAGACAATTAACTCGGTATCTATCGTGGTCTCGTACCTTTTTCGTCCATACCGGCTGCAAAAATGGGACACATAAAGAAGGTCGATTAATAAAACGAAAAGCCGATGAAGTTAATTCGTTGCAGGAGGATGTGGCCAAAGTATCCGTTCAGACAGATCAAATGGAAGCTATTCTCGGAGGAAAGATAAATAGATTTCTCTGCTTCGTAAAGATGCTTTATAGACCAGATGTAGAATAAAGTCGGACAAGGAGCTCGACCTAACGCTTTCGTATACCTACAGTGAGAGTCAAAACTAAGTGTACACCTTACAAAACGTGAGGTTCATGGTAATACTTCTGTAGCATTTTGCTATTAATCATGGTAGTAATACAGTTGGATATGATTTTGTTAACATTCTCGGGATAAATAGGCAGCTAACATGTCCGAGAAAAAGAAATTCGGAACTATAACAATAAAATTTGGTTAAACATGGTGAATGTACTATTATGTTGATTTTTATTCATAGTACTATAGACAGATTTGGATATTTAAATATTTCAAAATCAAATTCAGTTGCAAGCATGGGTCATTTAATGCGAGTTCATGGCCCGAAATATGTATACAGGGTGTAACAAAAATGTTGGAGGACCCGAAAATGGAAGATTCGTGGGGTGATTTGAAACAAGTTTTTCCTTAGCAAAAATGTTATCCGAGGCTTTGTTATCGAGATATTAACGAAAAAACCCCGACCAATCAGAGCGCGAGTCTGCCGGTAGAGTTCCCGCGGTAACGTTGGCTACCAATTGCAGCACGTGGCCAACGTTACCGCCGAAACTTGGCCGGCAAACTCGCGCTCTGATTGGTCGGGGTTTTTCGTTAATATCTCGTTAACAAAGTCTCGGATAACATTTTTACTAAGGAAAAACATGTTTCAAATCACCCCACGAGTCTCCCATTCCCGGGTGTACCAACATTTTTGTTACACCCTGTATACTAAAGGTGGTGAAAAATTGTTTGCTGAAAAACACTTTCAATCAGTCAGGTCCTACCTCCACAGTCACCAGATCTAAATTTAATAGAACACCTATGCAAAATGTTAGATTCTAAAGATAGAGAGATAAATATCAATGGACCCCATACTTTCAAAGTGTATACTCACTTTTGACTCTCACTGTATGTGCGGTGTAATCTGTGAATTTCATACCGGGATAAATTTCCAGCTTCTTCGCTTCGGCGATCGCGTCTTCGTAAAGTACCTCATGTTGTAGAAAATATTCCTCGTCCGGATGATGGTTCACCACTGTGACCGAACGAAGACTACCGAGGGTCAGTATCGCTATCAGAATTCTGAATCCAGTCGCGTGGTGGTTCATGCTAAAGCCTCTTCCTCGACATCTTCGACGGCAATGCGTAACGCGGTCCTCTTAAGCGAATTCCACTTCGATTCGATGCTTGAAATAACGAATGTATCGTTAGTCAAATTACTGATGAAATATTATTTCGATTATAAGTTCTTCTCGTGTTATTTTAATTGGTAACTAACACAAAAGATCGTTTTGAGTATTTCGATTCCGTAACTTCATCGTTTTGGTATTGTTGATAACAGTATTTATAGTAATTATTGTAACATATGTCCCACTTGATACTATAGCAGCTTTTGTATGAAACTGTTTTCGTACATAATTTGAAATCGTTACATTCGGTGCATCACCTGTACTATAGTAAGTACATTCTTTTTAACATTGGATCTTATACATATAAGGTAACTAAAAATCGTACACCTTCTTTCGTAAAACACTTTTTATCCCTAATAATAATTTGTTCATACGTAATAAATCAAATCTTATCCCAAAGAGTGACTCATCAATGACAGATATGTACATTTATGTAATAAAATTGTATATACATTTTTTATTGGAATTAAGTTACACGTGTTGGTTCCATTTGTGCTTTATATTTATATATTTCATAATCGTTGAAAATTCATTGGGTAAGAAAGGTGAATTACTCGCAAATCTTGTTGTCTTGAAGTATAATATACTTTAAGAATAAGAAGTTTTGAAGAATGTATCGTTAGTCAAATTACTGATAAAATATTATTTGGATTATAAGTTCTTCTTGTGTTATTTTAATTGGTAACGCACACAAACGACCGTTTCGAGCCATTCGGTTTCGTAACTTGATCGTTTTGGTATTGTTGAGAACGGTATACCCTTTTTCTTCTGCGTCCAGACTTATTTCATACGCATTGTATATACATACATATAGTGATTGTCGCAACCGGAAGTGTATGCAAGATTACAGGATAAGAATACTAGCGGGACAGTAGCATACAGACGATAACGATTGCTCTATCATTATTGTGATCCAAGGTAAATCCTTAAAATGATCCTCTGTTCCCGAAACAATTAAATTGCCGAGCTGTTTTTAACAAGATTTTCGAACCGTATTCGTAGCTGAAGAGAAACTGTTTAATTGTTTTTTCAAGACAGAATACTTTGAAATTTTGCATACAAATACCTGTCGTTATTGCGTTCTTATGAATATCGAATTCCAGTATTTCTGATTTTCTCATGTTTAAATGTGCCATGCAATATTTTGTCTGCTTAATCAATCAGTCTTTTTGCTATTTATGTATAATTTCAATAGATATATATAAATACCTCATTTGACATATTTTAATTATGACTATGCATTACTTGTATTATATACCAAACATAATCACTCTCCGCCAGCATGAAAGAATTCATTTCTTCACATCGTCAATAACAAATTAATACATCTTTATCATTTAATTCCATTTTTATGTACGTCCTTCTCTCGTTGTTATGATTCTGTACTAAGTGGTATTTATCCCATTAATAAATTATTATTATTATTATTATTATTATTATTATAAAGTTAGCATCTATCATTATAACTATTATATGTATAAGTAATATCACGAAAATACCACGTAATATATGATCTATTGTCATTTGAAGTTATTTTCAAAGATTTGGAAGGACTTTGTTATTTTCATTTTTGTGCTTTGTTCACGCGTATTATTAACTGTCTGAAATCAAAATTCGATAACTGTTCACGTAAATGTCTTAGTTTATTTGTACAATATATATTTTCCGGTTATATGTTGGCTATTTTTATGTTCCTTTATTATTGTTACCGAATAACAAATCGAGGATCATCCGTAAAACGAAATTATAAAGGAACTAAAAGATTCATAATACATATCGGTACAAATTAATTCTATATTAGTTCACTACAATATTGCATATTTGTTATGTAAGGTATAATTACAACATAACAAACAAAGTCATCAATCAACGTTACAAATTGAACGCATAGAACTATTAGGTAATCGTGTTACTGTATCTAATTCTGAAAACCATAGGTAAGGAAAACATCATCAGACGTAATTACAGCACAAGTTCATGGTAAAATGAAATATGTAGGTAATTACATCATCTTATCTTTATATCTGTTATTCAGACCAGGCCGATGTTTTAATGTCGCAGGCTACACGCGAAACACATGGTTCACTTGAATGCGAGAGGTTCTGATATCGATCGCATAATTCATTTCATTTCGGGAATGATTTATCCCTCCATATCTCAAACATACACAAGAAACTACATTTCCAACATTTTTGCACTTTTTTGTCAAACTAAAAATGTGCAGTTTGTTCATTATTGTTTAAATAATAATAAATTTCATAAATTTCTCACTTGAAAATGACATCAGGCTTTTCGATACAATATTCTTATACGAATCATTGTTCACATATTTGTGGAATAAAAACGATTAATGAACGCAAAATTTAGAAGAAAAAAATTTAAGGAATTTCATGCACATTAACGAAATTCCATTGTTCATTTACATAATCCAGTTTGCACGTTTTACCATCTTTAGGAGACTTAAAGTATTCTGTCGTCGTTAATTGTGAACAAATTATATAAAATGCTATCTTTTTCATTTATTAGATATTATTAGACTGCGGATTTTATGCAATTACAGCCTCTAGAGCCCCATGAAATACAATAAAAAATAAAACTTTCATTGTATACCAGGAATTTTCTATTTTATTCCCAATCCAATGAAATACTTAAGAGCGAAAGATATTCCTATATTTGCTCGTACCTGTATAAATTATTTTAGAAAATGTCGTTTCGCATAAAGATCCGCAGTTTAGATATTATATTAGGTTGCTACATAGCAAGTGTCATTTTTAAATTGTAGTGTTTGAACGACCAAGACTTATAATTAGACTGCGGATTTGTATGCAAAATGATATTTTCTAAAGTAATTTTTGACAAAAAGTCTGTCGAGTCGCAATAAAAGACACTACAAAATATATTTATATTAATTCCTTTTTTATTATTATTATCAATTATTGGAATACAATTTTAGAATTAATATTCATCTGAACGAACAATTTATTAAAACCTCGAAAACAATTGAAAAAAGTTTTACTTTTGTAATTTAGGTAATAATATATCGACACATTAAACACAAAAGATGCATTATTAGAATAATCATTAGAATTCAATTAGAAAACATTAATGTTAAAAGATGTAGAAAAACTTGAAAAAATATTTGAAACTTTTAAAACGAAAGCTAAAGTAAACTTTTAATTTTTTAAATTATAGTTGTTCTGATGTTTGGCAGACTTGAGGAAATGTGCATCACTTGTTATTTTTTCGGCAAATTTTGAACAACTTTCTTTCAAATTAAAATATATAAATAATTTATTTTTTATAAGTTCAACCGAACATTTATTTCGTTCATTTCTCCATTTAGTTGACATGACACTAAAAACTCTTTCATAGTATATTAATGTTGCAGGAATTGAAAACACATACGAAACTATTTTAAAAATATTCATACATTTATAATCAGCACTTTTTAAAATCATGTGTTATTTGCTACATGATGTTTTGGATCTTGTAAAATGTTCAGAACTTTGAATAGAGTCCAAAGTTTTTTGAATTAATGTTACTTCATCAAAAAGGTCATCCATATTCAAATCCAACTTTTCTTTTGCTTCGAATCTTCAATAACAACAACAAATTTCTGCTATGTTGGAAATGAATTATTTAACAGACTTAGAAATGAAGGACATTCGGCATTTTTCTAAACTCAAAAAAGAACAAGGACAGGAAAGCTTGTTGAAGGACTGTTCTTTCCAAAAAAGGACGGTTGGCAACCCTACTTAAGGGGTCATGCTTAGTCAGAAGTGTTCAAAAAATCGATTTTTCACTTTCTACATTCTCTTTAAGTACAACATCTCCAAAATATTCTGTGCAAGTTTCAAGGTAATCCAATTAAAAATGACAAAGTTACAGGCGTTAAAAAATGAACATTTTATATAAGTGTAAGCTTGATTTGAAACTTTAAACGCGTTTTTCTCGAAACTACATTTTTCAAATCGGTGATCAATATTTCTCGAAAACTACTGTGTCGATTTACATGAAGCCTTTTGCGTCTTATTTCAAATCAGAAAAACTTGTCCTTGAACGAAGGATTCTTTTGTTCGTTCCATACTTTTTTTTTAATTGATCAAAAACGAGTGATTTTTTAGGTGAAAATCGCACTTTTTCAGTAAAATGTTCGCCATTTTGTTCCTAATCAATATTTCGAAAAATCCTTCGTTCAAGGACAAGATTCGTTCTTCCATTAGATAAATCTTACTGAATTTTTAATTTCAGAGGAACCGTTACGAAGTTACTGTGATCACGGCAGACCACTTTTTGTGAAGAGACATCCGGGAGATCGCTCACCATTTATTTAGTAACAAATGTTTTTAAATAAAAAAAATACCTTACAATCTAGAAACTGCAATCTTTGAAACACAAACACATTTTTTGAAAAAGGTCTTATAGTTTTCGAGAAAAAAATTCCTAAAGAACACTCTTTTTCGGCCTTGTGACTGAGCATGGCCCCTTAAATATTTTATATTGGGTTCAGAACAATGTAGAAAATACATTGCATCGTTGGCATTACGCAAAGCCCTATTGGCTATAAATGCATGAAGTTCGCAGTCTACTTATAATGAAAGAAATATTTTTCATCGAAATAAAATCCATCTGAATTAACACACTCTTGCTAACGAATTACAAGTAAGTATCTCGATCCCATATTTAACGATGTGAAGATGGCTGAAATAAAGTGGGATATATTTTTAAAAAAAGAAACATTAAGTACGCAACACCTAATATATGTGTCGAATTCTGTTTCTATAGTGCAAAAGGAAGTAATTCGTAAACTGGTATATAGCGGAGAGGATAAGTAAGAATAGCGTGAAGATGAAACAAGGTAAGTACTTACTAGAAGTTATAGTCGTTGTGAGTCACGGCTAGATGACAAAGACAGACGATCGTTAATTAAGTCCAATTAAGGGCTCTGTACGCGAAACACGGATATCTTGACTGTTTGAATCAAGGTGGCATCGCGGAATGTCTTTCTGTTAATTTCGTCCGCGTTTTTCGCATGATATTTGCATTTCTTCTTTCAAAAAAGTTAAAAAAAAAAGAACGATTTTAAATACGATACGGCTCTAGTAACAAACTATTTAAAACCGAGCACAAAGTTAACGAAGGCATTATCCATTTGAGGAATTACGTCAGGAGCGTAGCAATTTTCTGAAGATGTTCAATGATAATAACGTAACCAACGATACGGTTATAAAACTACATTAATATTGTCGCTTCATAGAGCAACTTTTGAAGAAATGATGTTTCATTTTTCGAAGAACGATTAGAGTTTTTATTTTAATTATTTCATGCGTAAGAAACCACAACACATTAGTAATTTTATTACACTATTTTGCATAGAGAAAAGAATAATGGTTAATATTAAATTAAAAATTTTTTTTGTAAACAAAGCCTAAAAGCCGTCAACTACTGTTCATGCGTAGAAATCGATTTCATCGCTCGAAGAAATGACTTTGTTTGAATTTCATACGACATTTCTGAATTAAAGCGTATCTAAGTAATCAAACTTATTAAAATTTAAAAAAGATATTTAAATTTCCAATCGAATGAAACACTTTTAATTCTAATTAAAGAATATAATTCCGCTAACAGCGCTCGGTGATTAACTGACAAACGTTTATGCGTTATAAAAGAAGCACCATTCATCCGATTATCTTAAACATTATAATTAACAATAATATTATTAATATACATACGTTCGCGTTTAAAATCACGCTCGTCGCTTCTAGTCTAATTCGGAGTAATTTTTCCGTTACATTTTTAAGAAGGATGCGTTTATCTCCGCTTGATCTCTGACCCCGTCGAATTATCACCATTTTTTCCCGCTTATTACGAAACGAACGGAAAATGTGATGAGAGAAAAACATATCATAGTTATCAACACGTTTGTTTCATGTTTTTATTTCTTCCGTATGAATTTAGGAGTAAAACAACCTAATCAAAACACTCAGTGTAACCTTAATATTTATTCATTTTAAGAACATGTTTTATTAACAGTTATCGACACGTGTTTATGTTACCAGTTATCGACACGTGCCTTTCATTTTTCACTATGTTTTTTTTACTTTCGTTACTTGACAGAAAAAGGACCGCGGAAACAATATAAATATGAATATTCTTACCATTACTTTGATTTTTCGTGCACAAACAATTCAAGGTAGAAAATCCGTTTGACGCTCGATGAACTTTTCGTTCACTAACACAAAGCAAATAGATTGTTACTTCGAGAAACACCTCAATCCACCATATTGTACGTTAAAAGAATACAAAAAATTTAATTTGTCTTCCGGTGACTTTCTCTATTATTTAGTAAACGTGGAAAATATTGTACGACGTATACGCCGGTAAGCAAAACACAACGCATCCGAGGACGAGCAACCGTCAAAGACTACAGGCTGCGTTGAACTGTCGACGGCCGAGGGCTGAAAAGAGTGTTAGGCACCTCCACCACCATTCCTGTAGCACGGTTACATTACAACTCCACGGCTGCTAGAAAGAACATGTTGCGTTACAGGGTGAGGCACCTAACTCAACGATTACAAATTAATCGTAAATTATTTGTTGTACGAAAAAGTGTTTTAAACTAGAAAGTATTCGTACACCCTTTAAAACGCAACAACTTTTTTTTAAATTGGTCCGAGCAACATGAGTTTATTTATGAATTTAGGAACACTAGTTTACTAAATGCTGTGTAAAAAAAAATTGAAAAAGTTACAATTGGTCCGAAGAAAATAGTAAAGATTGCTTTTTTAAATATTTTCATTTGAGCCTATAATGAAAATTTAATAAATACATATCGAAGACTTATGTTAGTTATATACATGTTGAAAATTTCATCAAAATCGGTTAACGTTGTTATGAGATACAAACGATTGAAAATCGGACCAATTTGAAAAAAGTCAGGGTACACCTTTTAAAACGGAACAATTCTTTTCAAATTGGTCCGATTTTCAATTGTTTGTATCTCATAACAACGTTAACCGATTTTGATGAAATTTTCAACATGTATATAACTAACATAAGTCTTCGATATGTATTTATTAAATTTTCATTACAGTCTCAAATAAAGAAGTTGTAAAAAGCAACCTTTACTATTTTCTTCGCGATTCGGTCCAATTGCAAATTTTTCAAATTTCTTTTACACATCATTTAGTAAACTAATGTTCCTAACTTCACAAAAGAACTCAAGTCACTCGGACGAATTTGAACAAAATTGTTTCGTTTTAAATGATATACGAATACTTTTGTCCCTCACTGTATGTCAGTATAAATCTTTTTCTTCTACACTGACTACGTGTAAAATTTTGAACGTGATCTTAATTTTTTTAAATAGACTACTCTATATTTCTTTACGAAAATTAAAGAAGCATTAAAAATTGAGTAAATGAGGCATAAGGTCAATGTCTCTATATCTAATCACGTCCCGATTTTTGCTCAGTACGTATATTTTTTATTTAGTATAAAAAGTTAAACAATAAATTAGTTATACAAAAAATTATTTAAATTAGTTCAGTATTTCCTGGCATTTTCAGTATTAGCTGAGCAGAAATAGGGACATATTATACTTCATACTAAATGAACTATTATTAAGTTAAAATGTATTTAAAAATACTATTGTTTAAATTTAATGATAACGGGAGGTTTAAATTTGACACCTCAAAAGCTTTCTTGTTGACTGTTGCATAAATAAATAATAAAAATTGATTTCTGCGATAGCAGAACTTCTAGATGATTAGAAATAGGGACGTTGAACTTAGTATGTTTATAGTGGGTATTTATTGAGATATTTACAGTGAAAGTTTGACTATAAAAGGTGTTTCACTGAAACTTATTACACCATCGACGACTCCAAGAAACATACAAAAACTATTATTAATATACGTGCAAAAATCTTCTAGAAGTACACTAGAAAATATGTATTTTCCATTTGTCAAACTATTAAATGTCTGTATATGGTCAACAGTTCGAACATTTTTTATAGCACAACTTTTACTTATTACCTATTATATTTTTTTATCCACGTAAATGAGTATTAATAACTGAGTAAATAAGTATCATACCATAATAGGTCTAAAGAGGGAATTATAATGACACTTAAAGGAATACACAAAACTTTATACGTGAACAATGTAGACAAAAATAATTATTGTAACATATGTAAAACACTTTTTATCCCTAATAATAATTTGTTCATACGGAATAAATTAAATCTTATCCCAAAGAGTGACTCATCAATGACAGATATGTACATTTATGTAATAAAAGTGTATATACATTTTTTATTGGAATTGAATTACAAGTGTTAGTTCCATTTGTACTTTATATTTATATATTTCATAATCGTTGAAAATTCATTGGGTAAGAAAGGTGAATTACTCGAAAATCTTGTTGTCTTGAAGTATAATATACTTTAAGAATAAGAAGTTTTCTAAATAATACCATTCTTTAAATAAATCGAAATTTTTGTTTGATTTGTTTGTAAGTTTCGTACTTGCGCGGTTATCTATTAATTGCTATAAATCTACAAAAATTTCAACGTATTGGGTCAGTGCAACAATTTTGATGGATTTTCTGCAGATGATTTTATCGGCATGGTTTTATAGAAATAATAAACAATTGTATAATACTAATATGGTTTTATGTGTAACAATTATATAATACAAATATAACAAAATGAGTTGTTGTTTCAAACAATAGTTCATGCAATTGAGTGTGTTCTTATTTTGAAAATAAAATTGAAATTGAACTCGTAAAAAGAAATTAAAAAATGAAAGGAATAAACTTACAAACGCCACAAGACACATCCCATTCTGTGATAAACTGACAATTTATTAATATAATTCAATTACATAAATTCACTGAATAATATAATAATATTCAGAAAATTCTATTATTACAATAAAAATCTCTATTAAAAACACATACGTTATAAACGAATCACTATGTATTTCATTAAATTACTATTAAATTACAATTAAAACTATTATTAGTCTACTCTTTAAGAGTAAAACCCATCAAAACATTGTACAACCTAATATTTAAACAAACATAATTGAATCGTATAGGATGTTCACTGGGAATCAGATTATAGATCTATACTAAATTGTGAGTTTATAAAATGTTTACACTACATTCAACTTAAACAATTACTTTATGAGTTAAATTTCAGTTCCTGCGAGTCTGGCAACGGTTAAAAAGCATTGTTAAGATGAAAGATTCTTGAATGAATCTATCGACTATTGTCAGGCATTGCTGGGGATCGGTCTGGAGGCTATTCACATTTAACAAGACTCTCGTACCCACGTGCACATTTTTACTATTCAACAGCTGAGGGCCCTACAACCGGGAATACGTGCTTCTGATGCGAGTACGAATACTGAAACGTACAACCATTCGAAGAAAGTGGTATAATACGAACACGCACAGTACGTATGCACACGCAACATTCAGTGGGTAAAAAAAGTATTTGTACGCCCTTTAAAATAGAACAACTCTTTCAAAATTGGACCAAGTGACTTGCGTTTCTTTGTGAACTTAGAAAGATTAGTGTACTAAATGATGAGTTAACAAAATGTTGAAAAAGTTGCAATTGGTCGGAATTCGCGAAGAAAATAGTAAAGGTCGCTTTTTGCGACGTTTTTCTGAGATTGTAATGAAAATTTAACAAATACATTTCTTTAATTTTGTGATAGTTTATATTTGTACAAACGGTTCAAAATGTGGAAAATCGCAGTTTTTCGCGACTTTTCACCTACAACTGTAGTATATCTAAAGATTCTTACATCGTTCGATGCCTCTACTCGTTTCTGTATTAACCGATTTCAATAAAATTTGCAGCATGTATATAACTAACATAAATTTTCGAAATGTATTTATTAAATTGTCATTACAGTCTCAGACAAAAAAGTTGTAAAAAACGACATTTACTATTTTCTTCGATATTCTAAAAAGTCGCAAATTTTTCATAATTTTTTTAACAAATCATTTAGCAAATTAATCCTTCTAACTTCACAAAAAAAACTCAAGCCACTTGGTCCAATATTGAATGAGTTGTTCTATTTTAAAGGGTGTACGAATACTTTTTTTACCCACTGTGTACATATACAAAACTGCAATCCGAATTTAGATGCCAGCTTTCGTACAAGCTTCCTGGCTAAAACTTCGAAAACAAACACTGTACACTTCTGCTGTTACAATTTCGATACATAATAAAAAACGATAGCTTTAGTTAATAAAACGTACAGTCATACGGAAAATGGGTTGCTATTCTTGAATTCCTAGTCCATTTCTATCCGTAATATGTATTGGGTGAGTGCCAAAGTTTTTATGGGTTTTGCTCTAAAAGGGTAGACTAATAATAAATTTAATTGTAATTTTCTTATTGATAATGTGTATTTTAATTACAAAATGATACACTATTTAATGAAATACATAATAAAAGTAATGAAATACATTATATACATAAATTCTTCAATACAAATTTTTATTCTAATAAACAAATTTCTGGAATATTATTATTTAATGAATTTATATAATTAAAAAATATTAATAAAGTTACGGTTTACCATAGAGTGGTATTAAAATTCTTCAAAAGATATAAAATAAACAATCTCATTTACTCTAAGAACCTCACACTATATGTAAATATTATTCCGAAAGTATAAAATCCAATTAAGAAACATAGTGTAATACAAAATACAAATGTCTTTTTTAAGAAATAGCATTATTATTTAATGTATCATAAAAAAGATTACAACTTTTACAGTGACCTACCTACAATGGGTGATTGAGTTATTAGAACCACAGTGCGAAAAATATGTTCTTTGTGTTTATATAGAAACAAAATCACAATATCAAGCTTTTATACCGGATAATTGTTAACTAACAATTATCCTCTAAAACTACATAAAATAAATTAGTTCAAAAAACTTGGCTTACGTTATTATTAGACTGCGGATTTTATGCATTTATAGCCTATAGGGTTCTGTGAAATTCGATAAAACACAAAACTTTCATCGGATCCAACGAGTTTTCTATTTTATTCTGAACCCAATAGGACACTTAAGAGGAGAAATAAATGTCTACATTTACTGCTGTCTTTATAAATTACTTTAGAAAATGTTATTTTGCATGAAAATCCGCAAGTCTATTGGTCACGCACTGTAATATTACTGCTCTATATTTCACGATGATTTTATTTCCAGCATTTATAATGCGCATAATTACAGAAATTT